TGCCCCCCCCCCCCCTGGAGCTTACCCTCGGGGATATACCAAGACAAACCCCTCATCGAAAAATTTCCCTTTTTGGATGATAAAGAATGCCACAAACCGCGACCTTCTATCTTTTTTTGTTAAAAAATTATACCCACTTTTCAGTTACTTTACGGACACCCGGTATTAGGTTTATTTCTTAGGTTTATTAGGTAATTGTCTTAATCTACCTAAGTAACCTCCCGCCGATGGGCCGTAGAGAGTATAGAATAGAGTAGATCCTTTCACAGGGTGTCCCAGGGTTAAATACGAATATTGAAGGAGTCGATTCTTTGGGTCAAAAAAAGACGTTTTGGTAACACTGCTTCGAAAATATCACGATGGCCTTAAATTGCGTTTCTATACGATCTCAGGGTAGTATTCAGCTTGTAGCCCGATGCACTATTCTGTTTAATTATGATGCACTGGACTTAGAGTCCAGAATTCTTTGATTTTAGCGCATAAAAATGAAAAATTGGCAACGCTGCACTGCCTAAACCAGGTGTCACTTCAAATTGAAACTTTGCCTGGAAGTATGCCTTACCATAAGCTTTCATTTGAGCCTTGTCCCGTTGCCCAACTCGGGTATCCAAAAAAGGGGCTAAATTTGGCGAGGCTCTTTGAGGACTTGAAAGCGCCATGTTAAACTAATTTTGAACTTACAGAGATATGTTGAGAAAAAGTTAGGGAAAATTGACTCATTTCGCGGGAAAATCGTATGACCTTTGAACTGACGTGTTTGGGGGTCTGAACCCCCCCCCCCTTAAAAGTAGTTTGTGGTGAGTTCTGTGATTTTTACTTAAAAGAGCTTACAATTTGCTCAATTTTCCTGTTCTTTTTTTTTCTCAACGACAATTTGAGCCGGAGTTATGATTTTTTTGAAAATAGGTCTAATTTGACCTTTGACCTTTATCGGTCAAAAATTAAGATACCAATCTGCGGTTTCTGCCAAAATTCTTAGCTTGTAATGTTCTTTCCAATGATATATATGTTAAGATAGGGGTCACCATTTGAAAGGGGAAAAAATTGCGCCCCTCTCCCGCGGAGGAAGAGGCAGAAATTTGACCCACCTAGAAGATGGTCCGCTTTGAGATAGAAACATTCCGGAAGTTCCGTTTTTGTATCTCTAAACGTTCTAAAGTTACCAGGGGAGGTTTGGGACACCCTGTATAGATCCATTCGAGCTCAAATCTAGATTGGCAGACGAGTACGCTCTCCTGCGGCCGATCGAAAGGACTCGAATGTAGCACTCCGAAGCTTGAAAGCTTCAATGCCGGAGCTAAAATGTTAAACAATCTTCCCTGGGCTTTGGAAGCCTCATTGAAGTCCTGGAAATTTTTGACCACATTTTACTTCCATTATCTATTAATTATATACATCTGACCGCAAGTTTAACTTGGCAGATGAATACGAGTTCATACGGCCGATCGGTACCCCTCGTGGGTCTTGAAAGTACGCTGCGGAGCTGTAATTCGAAACATTGTAATTTTAAACAAATAATTTTTTTGGAAGAGGATTGGTAATTTCTGAGCTCAGCGAGACCCCCTCTCCCCCTCCTCTTAAGAAAGACACCCCCATAAATTTATGTTGCATGGTTTGAACATTCCGTCTGATTCAATATTACTCCAATCTGATTTTGGAAGCANGGGGGGGGGGGGGGGGGGCGAATATCGGTTGGCGCGCAGAGAGCGGCAACTTCAGTCGTTTGTAAGTGTCGAATCGTTTGGTTTTTCAGCTTAATGGACCACTCGTTGGATGTAGATTATGACGAACAATTTAAAAAGAAGTAGTCTTCACTGTCGTAAAATTGAGATCTTGGTGAATTTTTTTTTTTTTTTCTTTAAACAAATTTTCACTACTCCAAAACTGAAAAAATTCCCATCAGTTATTATGGCTTCGGGATTTTAACCTTGAGAATCTCGAAGTACGTAATTTTTGACGATTTTTCGTCAGAAGCGGGCTGATACTTTTTGTTCGAAAAACATCAAGGTTCAAAGGTTTTTTTATGTTCACCTCCCTAGCGCCCTCATCCCCTCCCCCCCTCCTTCCCAAGAAATAAAAATTTTGTCGACGGTCTGAAAATTTGGGTTTAGAAACGCTTCAATAGACGAAATTTGCAGAACCTCCAAGCAGAAGGGGGGGGGGTCCGAATCATACCGTTTTTGCACAAGGCTCTTTAATCGTGTCAGATTTGAAAACAGTTGCTTACTCAGAAAGACACTTGAGAGTTGGTGAATCACCGCAGGGAGGAATCAGACGTTCAACAGGATTTTTTCCTGTCTTATTGCGTAATTAACCGCATGGAGAATCGATAGGAGACAGACTCGCGCCTGACGAGAATGTAGATAAGCTCTTGACTCACAAATATTAGACGACTTAAGAGAAAAAAACGGCTGAGACCCCATTAAATCCCTTCTACCGTGATTTACTTACCTAATTCCGAAGGTCTCCTTTAATTTTATTCGTATCAATCATAAAAATTAAACTTAATAAATTATTTTCTTATGTGTAAGTCCTTTTGACTTCATGAGACAGCAATGGGCCTGTTGCAAACTTTTGCTAGAGCAAAAACAAGAGTAGTTCCTCATAAATAATGTCTCTAAAATCACGATGAGCGCATTGGCAAACCTTGAAATTCACTCCTAACTTCACAATGTGCGTAGGAGATTTGCGTTTTTTTTTTTTTTTTAAAGATTTCCGCTTCAAAAAGGATACAACTCGTATAGCACAGGTGAGCCTTTCGTTAGAGGAGTCGTTCCATTCAATCCCTATGGTCGAGGTCGACGCTTCTGCGCGCAAGTTGAGGGGAGCACGAGGTCAATCAAGGCGGATATCTATCAACACGAGAAAAATTTGAATGTAAACACGCCGATTGTTATCAGGTGGTCAGAATCATCGTCCTGTTACATGTATTTTGGCGGATTGGCGTCGGCTGTGTTGAATATTGCGTAATATCCTTGTGAGCAAGGGTTGGATGGAATGACTCCTCTAAGGAAATGTTAATCTATGCCGTGGTATCGTTTTTGAAGCGGGAAGCTTGAAAAAACTCAAATTTCTTACGCAAATCGTGAAGTAAGGAGTGCATTTCAGACTTTGCCGCTCATCGTGATGTTTGAGACACTTGCTTTGAGTACACATACATACATTAAGCCGCTTTTATAGCGCCGCCTCGCGCTCTGCGACGCCCAATCGCCATCGCCCCCTATCCTCTCAGAGATCATCAGGCAATTGGCACCTTCTGATTTCCTCCTCCACCCCTTGTCGCGAACCTTTCACAGGACGTCCACGCCGTCGCCTTCCGGGAGGAACCCAATCGAAGACCTGCTTGGGCAACCGATCATCTGCCATCCTTCGCACATGTCCATACCAGACCAACTGCTTGGACCTGATCTCGTGCACAATGTCCTTCTCCACACCCATTATCTCGCGTACCTTCTCATTGCGGATACGCTCTCTTCTCGATATCCCAGCAGACCTTCGCCAAAAGTCCATCTCGGTTGCCCTAAGCATATCTTCAGTTCTTTTCTTGAGTTGCCAGACTTCACTCCCGTAAGTTACGATACTCTTCACGATGACGTTGTAAATTTTTCTTTTGGTCTCCTTGGAGATACTCTGGTCCCAGGGAACCCCATTTAGCATCGCGATAGCTTTCCTGCCTTGCACATTCCGATCTTTAATGGCCCGATCTAAATTTCCGTCCTTCGTTAACCATACTCCCAGATATTTATACTCTTCACAGTCCTGAATTTTCCGACCATCCTCCAGTTCAATGCTTTGCTGATCACCACCGATAATCAATTTCTCCGTCTTTACCACATTAACTTCCATCCCCCACTTACGGTATACTTCCACTAACTTGCTTTGAGTAACAACTCTTATTTTCGCCCTAGCGAAAGTTTGCAACGGGCCCATTTCCCTAAATGAACTATAAAAAATTAACACAGGGACATATAATCGTTCCAAAAATATCTGTGTAGAGTCATTGTAAGAAAGGAACAATAAACAATCCTCTGAAGTATTTTCAACAAGACAATACTCAACTTTCCCCAATATCTGTTTTAGGATTCAAGGATTCTCCGAAAGCCATCACTTCATTCCATATTCTTGTTTTGGTACACTCTTTTCATTACTTTCGTTTAAGTAACAATAATGATAACCTTTATCCTCTCAATTTTATTTATGACTCAACTATGCATCATGGTACCACATCCTGTCGTAGTTTATTACTTGTTTCCCCACTCAAAGAACTTCTACAGCTCTCAACATTTTCAACTTATGATTCATGTTTTCTCTTCTCCTTTGTTTAGCCCCCCAACACCCCTAAACGACCTTTGCCTGAAGATGAATTTTCTGCACCAGAAGAAAATGAAACAGAGTACGAAAGAATGCGAAAAATTAGAAAAAGAGAAAAACTCCGTGCCGAAGCGGAAAAGCTGGAAAGAGAAAATTTGTTGCAGTTGCAACTTAAAAAAGAGAAGGAAGAGCGCATTCAAGAAGAAAAGAAGCAAGAAATTCTAATGAAACATCTAGAGGAGAATGACATTTCAGAAGTAAGTGAGGCTCACAATTGGCCTACATTTTCCTATAAGGAGCCATAATTTCTGGTTCATGCATCAAAGCACTTGTCTGCATACGAAAACTAATGCACATACAGGGTGTTTCAGACCACCCGTACCAGGCCTTTTTCTCGGTTGGTATAGGTCGTACGAAGTCGGAGACCGCGGGGTTGAATAGGGAATTGACCCCAAGGAATCCGAATTTCGAGGTCCCGAAACCCCCCCACCCCCCCTTGTGGGGTAAAGGGGGGTCACGATGCTAAAAGTCACGGTTCCCGACCGAATTGCGGATAGAACGCATCAGAATTGAAAAGCACGGAAAATTTCACGTGGAATTGACCCCTAAAAATCCAAAATATCCAAGGCCCAAAAATGACCCCCTAAAGAGGGGGACAGTACCCCCCTCCATAATTTCTCTTTAGTCTCAAAATTGACGTAGATTCTCCAGAAAAAGACGGTTTCCCAGGTAATCGACCTCGAGAAATCCAAATTTCACGGTCCCGAAGCTCCTCTAGCTCCCCTTGGGGGGTAAACGGGGGGAGGGGGGGCCAATTTTAAAAATCGGGGCTCCTTTCCGAATCGCAAATTGATTGCATCGAAATTGAGGAGCAGAACACATTTACATCTTAAGAGACTCCTAAGAGTTCTAATAGACCCCCTGAACGGCAGAAAGTAACCCCCTGAGGAGGGGGCCTCGCCCTCGCCAAAAATTTCTCAAGATTCCTCCTTGGTCGCAAAATTGACGTCGATTCTCCAGAAAAAGACGGTCTCCCATGTAATCGACCCCGAGGACTCTAAAATTCATGTTCCCTGAGCTCCTCGGGGTCGATTACATGGGAGACCGTCTTTTTCTGGAGAATCGACGTCAATTTTGCGACCAAAGAGGAATCTTGAGAAATTTTTGGCGAGGGCGAGGCCCCCTCCTCAGGGGGTTACTTTCTGCCGTTCAGGGGGTCTATTAGAACTCTTAGGAGTCTCTTAAGATGTAAATGTGTTCTGCTGCTCAATTTCGATGCAATCAATGGGCCTGTTGCAAACTTTTGCTACAGCAAAAATAAGAGTTGTTTCTTATAGATAATGCCTCAAAAATCACGATGAGCGCATCGGCAAAGTCTGAAATGCACTCATAACTTCACAGTCTGCGTAAGAAATTTGCGGTTTTTTGAGCTTCCCACTTCAAAAACGATACTACGGCACAGGTGAACATCTTGTAAGAGGAGTCGTTCCATCGTCGGCAATACTCATCATGGCCAACGCCAATCCGCCAAAACACGTGTGATGGGACGAGATAACACCTGAACTGGATTAGACCAGATAAAAATCGGCGTGTTAACGTTCATATTCTCCACGCCCGAATTGATTGACCTTGAACTCTCCTCGAGTTACGCGCGGAACTGCGCGCAAGCGTCGGCCATGATGAATATCGCCGACGATGGAGCGATTCCTCTAACAAAATGTTCACCTATGCCGTAGTATCGTTTTTGAAGCGGGAAGCTTAAAAAAACGCAAATTTCTTACGCAGATTGTGAAGTTATGAGTGCATTTCAGACTTTGCCAATGCGCTCATTGTGATTTTTGAGGCATTATCTATAAGAAACAAACCTTATTTTGGCTCTAGCAAAAGTTTGCAACAGGCCCATTTGCGATTCGGAAAGGAGCCCCGATTTTTAAAATTGGCCCCCCCCCCCGTTTACCCCCCAAGGGGAGCTAGAGGAGCTTCGGGACCGTGAAATTTGGATTTCTCGAGGTCGATTACCTGGGAAACCGTCTTTTTCTGGAGAATCTACGTCAATTTTGAGACCAAAGAGAAATTATGGAGGGGGGTACTGACCCCCTCTTTAGGGGGTCATTTTTGGGCCTTGGATGGTCCGCTTTTGGATTTTTAGGGGTCAATTCCACGTGAAATTTTCCGTGCTTTTCAATTCTGATGCGTTCTATCCGCAATTCGGTCGGGAACCGTGACTTTTAGCATCGTGACCCCCCCCCTTTACCCCCCAAGGGGGGGTGGGGGGGTTTCGGGACCTCGAAATTCGGATTCCTTGGGGTCAATTCCCTATTCAACCCCGCGGTCCCCGACTTCGCTCGACCTATACCAACCGAGAAAAAGGCCTGGTACGGATGGTCTGAAACACCCTGTATGTGATTTCTGAAATGAGCTAAAAATAGTAGTTCCATATCGCACGAATTATCAGTTATTTATAGTGTATAGAACATTTACATTTAATAGGGTTTTTCAAAAAAAAAATTGTTGTTCTTCAGTGTAGGTGTTCCTTAATACATTGTTGCCAAAGTGTACAAAATTTCCGAACTTCTAATGCTTATTGTTAGTTTTCCAATCTGGCGACTTAAGGCCCAAAACCAATTGTACAGGCCAACTAATTCAAGCCGGGAGGGATTGTGTCCTGCCTGCTTGATTTCTTTTTTCAAGACCTTTTGATGATGGTCGCATTGTAAATGGTTCTAATGGAAAGTGTCAAGTTAACCCTGCATCCTCTCTCTAGAAAGTTGGGAGGGACAGAACTCCAACAATAAATATCTTTTTTAAAACCAGGAATACCTGCCCCAGCAGCATGTCAAAAAACTAAAGCGTTTCCAAAATAATTTAATGTTTTCATTATCTTGAGACACCCTGCAATCTTGCTTACTCACTACAGTAGATACCGGTTTATACGACATTCAAGGGGTCACGGGATTTCGTCGTATTATCCGATACGTCGTTTTAACCGAACTTAGGAAAAAAATGGCTTACATTAGGAAAAAGCAGGAAACGCCAGGGAATGTTCAAAGGGCTGTACTCCGTACGATTTTTGTAATTCACTGCACTGTATATTGTAGACGTCCACTTTGTAAATATAGTATTGTGCAAATATTAAAAAATTTAAAAATATTTGATTTTAAAACTAATGTAGTTAAAACTTGAAAAAACTTCAGGTGTGCTTAAAAAAGTCAGTAATCTTGGACTGGCATGAAAATTTTTCACAAAATGCTGCTTCCAATTTGTGTTTAATGGAGCTTAAAACTCCTGCCTCCTCCTCCGTTACGTTGCAGTCGTGAACGCACAAAAACTTTTGAAGCTTGGAAGTAAAATCTAAATCTAAGTCATTTTTACCGAGTAATTTTGCAAAATCGTTTGCCTTTACTTGGAGAATGGGACCACTAATTGGAATACTGAGGCTTCTTTGTTGCTTAAACCACTTTAAAAGTGCTTCTTCAATATTTTGATGCTTGGACACTCGCGCGCGTTTTAAATCACTCGATTTGTTTTCCTCAAGCAATGTCTTTATTTTTTCTCTGTGCTTCCAAATTGTTGAAATCGTTGAATGACTCAAACCATATTCGATTGCTAGATTTCCATTTTTTTCCCCTTTTTCTAAACGCGAAACAATAGTGGCTTTTAGTTCGAAATCAAAATCATTCCGTTTTCTTTTACTCATTTTACGCACTTTCACGAAAACTACTTAAACATTCGACCCGGCACCGAGACTGCACTCATAAAGTTTCGGCCGCACAGACAAAACAATACTGACCTCACGATGTGCGACACTGATAATACCCCTAAACAGAAAAGTTGTAAACACTGCACCGCATGCCACCGTCTCCGTGTCAACTTTGATCTCGGGTAGCATTTAGCGCTTGATAATCAGTTGTCGGTCGTATTAAGCGATGCCTGAGTGTCAAATTGACGAAAAAATCCGTCGTATTAGCCGATAAGTCGTATTAACCGTTGTCGTATTAACCGATACATACTTACATGCTCTCTTATGGAATTTCGCCGGGGAAAACGAAATCCGTCGTATTAGCCGATATGTCGTATTAACCGATATCTACTGTACCATTCAACTAACTACAAAATATGAAGGGCCGTTTGTAACTTAAGATACGAATGTTGGCAATATATAATACATGATGTGATGTATGAAATATTCAAGATATATGAGGACTTATCTGTAACAATAGCGGATGTCGAGTTTTCACATTGTGAGAAAATTGCGTTTGAAGTTTTAGAAGCTTTGCACTTTGTCGCCCGTAGAACCGAGAGGACTTTCATAAAGATTTTCATGAAGAACAACCCTTCCTGTAAAAAACGTACGTTTTGCGATCTATGTAAGTGTAAAATTGAAGGAGTAACAGCGATTCGAAAAAAATGTGACATCCGCTGTTTTCACTGAAAACGTTTTTTTATGCGTGGAACAAAGTCTTCAGGAACTTTAAGGCTGGTGAAACGATTGAAATGAACCCAAAGTAAGTCAATGCTGAGTCCTTTAATACAATTGAACAAAAAACTAGACCGTATGTAACTTCTAGAACAAAAATACGGAACAAATCATAAAATCAGTTAAAAATTCAACAATTCTGGTGAGACTGTCCCAATACGTATCATTTGAGTGTCAGCTATAGCCCATGGTCGGTGCGCGGGCAGTTATCGCAAGTGGATTCGAATCTCTACCACGTTCTGCCGCGCCGGCGGGGAGAACAGTGGATTCTCACATCCACTGTTTTTAGAAATAACATGGTTTTCAGTTCATATCTCGCCGAAAAATTGTCCTAGAAATCTGAAACTTTGCACAGCCATTCTTGAGGGTTCCAGAATTCGAAAAAAGCGTTTGCCCTAAAAATGGCGGATGTCAACGACCGCTGTTGTTACACATATGTTCTCATATAGGAAATTCTGAAATATATATACGAAACTGTCGTAACGTATAAAGAAATGTGTGAGAAACAGGGTTATCCGAAAGTCACCTCCCACCCCTGTAACTTTTTTCCTAATTGAGATAGAAGTTTGAAACTTTGGGAATGTTCCTCGGTTTAAGGTAGCAACATTTTGGTTCCCCCAAAACTTTGGGGGGCGGGGGCTAACTTTTTTTTTTCAAATCGCAACTCCCCTTTTGTGATACCTCATTCGGAAGATAATATAAAAAGTAAATTTTTGGCGCAAACCGTGGGTCAAAATGTTGATTTCTGACAAAATGGCGGCCGGTCAAAGTTCAAAATGG